ATTAAATATTTATTAGATAGCATAAGAAATTAAATATACTTATTAGATAAAAACAAATCTAAAGAGTTGCTCCCGACACCATAAGCATAGTGCCACCGTCACTTCCAGTAGACGGATGTCAGCCTCCCTCAACATTGACTGTTTCATCCTTTTTGCGGCGGAGAGTAACGTAACAAGCGTAAATAAGAAGACATAACACGCCAAGGGAAGAACCTCCAGCCACGTATAGTAAAAATATTTCGTGTGCCTCCATTGATTAGTTAAAACTAACTAAAAATTTTGTCACATGCTTTTATATATATAATCATATAAATATATATATATAGAAAAGTTTGATTATTTTTTAGATAATATCTCTATAAAATAAACCTATTATTATTTTGGGAATCTAAAAGTCAATTTTTTAGAACGAAATCACAAAAGATTTTAAACATTGAATTTTTTTTGGACGGAAAATCAATTCCTTTGGTTACCACATGTACGCGTGTACTAATACGACATCATCATGTACGCGTGTCATTCATTCAATAGAATGAAACTCTAAATTACGATATCAAAGTGGAACAAAAAATTAGAACCCAATATTTCGAGCGGCATAATTCAGTTTTGCATTTAAATTACGCTAAATTATGTGCGTTTTATTTATTTATTTATTTAATAATTTTATAGGTTTCTTTTATTTTATTTTATTTTTTGGTAATTTCTGCACCCTTAAATTTCCATAAACTAGTAAAAGTTAAAAAATCTCTTTGTCCTTAAATATCTCACAAAAATACCAATGATCACAATCGGCTTTCTGTGTTTTAATGTTAATCTCAAATGAATTTCTCTTTATTGTTTAATAATAATTAAATCCAGATATAATAGATAAAGAACATGTTCTTTGATAGTTTATGCAATTGTTTATTTTTTATTTTTTTGCCAATTCTTAGTACGTTTATATTAGTATAATAACATGTTAAGTGTAATAAAGAAAGTCTACGCAATTAAAAAAAAATTAAACAAATAACAAGCATTCAAGTTCTACATTGAATAGATAACAGTCAAAACAAAAGCGTAAGAAATTAAATATTTATTAGATCACTCAAACATGACCGCCACTTCCTGAATAGCATAAGACATTAAGTATTTATTAGATAACATAAGAAATTAAATACTTATTAGATAAAAACAAATCTAAAGAGTTACTTCCGACACCATAAGCATAGTGCCACCGTCACTTCTAGTCGACGGATGTCAGCCTCCCTCAACATTGACTGTTTCATCTTTTTTGCGGCGGAGAGTAACGTAACAAGCGTAAATAAGAAGACATAACACGCCAATGGAAGAACCTCCAGCCACGTATATTAAAAATATTTCGCGTGCCCCCATTGATTAGTCAAAACTAACTAAAAACATTGTCACATGCTTTTATATATATAATCATATAAATATATATATATAGAAAAGTTTGATTATTTTTTAGATAATATCTCTATAAAATAAACTTATTATTATTTTGGGAATTTAAAAGTCAATTTTTTAGAACGAAATCACAAAAGATTTTAAACAATGAATTTTTTTTGGACGGAAAATCAATTCCTTTGGCATGTAAATATATGCGTAGATGTCAATTGTTTTGGCTTTTGGTATGGTTACCACAATCAAATCTGATCTCTTTCATTTACACAAGGAATTAATGCCTCCTTTATCTATTAATATATAA